GCTGGTGACACCGCTGTCCCCGCAGTGGATGACGTGCAGGTCTCCTGTTACCGCATCCTGTGCAGCATCTACAGCCTGGGCACCGCCCGCGGGCCCCTCGTGGACAGGTGGGGACCCCAAAAACCCCGGGGGGACCCCAAAAACCCCGGGGGGGCGCAAAAACCCCGGAGGGACCCCAAAAACCCTGGGGGGACACCAAAACCCCGGGGGAGACACCAAAAACCCTGGGGGGACCCCCAAAAACCCGGGGGGGACACCAAAAACCCCGGGGGGACACCAAAACCTCCATGGGGACCCAAAAATCACATGAGAGACCCCAAAAACCACGGAGGAAGACTCAAAAATCCCAGGAAAGGCCCCAAAAACCCCAGGGGGACCCCAGAATCCTCGAGGGGGACCCCAAAAACCCCAGAAAGACCCTGGAACTGGAGGGGGGGGACACATAAAACCATTTTGGGAGTCCCCCCCAAAACGTGTGACGGGTTTGGGGTGGGGCCTGGGGGTTCCCTGGGTTAGGGGTGTCCGTGGGGTGACCCCTGGGTGACCCCTGGGTGTCCTGGTGACCTCTGGGTGTCCCCTGGGTGTCCCCTGGGTGTCCCCTGGGTGTCCCCTGGGTGTCCCCAATGTCCCCAATGTCCCCGCAGGCAGCGGCCAGCCCTGGGCGAGTGCCTGGCCCGCCTGGCCACTGTCATGGGGTGCTGTGGGGTGACCCCTGGGTGTCCCCTGGGTGTCCCCTGGGTGTTCCCTGGGTGTCCCCAATGTCCCCAATGTCCCCAATGTCCCCGCAGGCAGCGGCCGGCCCTGGGCGAGTGCCTGGCCCGCCTGGCTGCTGTCATGGGGTGCTGTGGGGTGTCCCCTGGGTGTCCCCTGGGTGTCCCCAATGTCCCCAATGTCCCCGCAGGCAGCGGCCGGCCCTGGGCGAGTGCCTGGCCCGCCTGGCCGCCGCCATGCCCGTGGCCTTCCTGGAGCCGCAGCTGAACCACCTGAACCCCAGCTCCGTGTACAGCACCAAGAGCGCCCGCGAGCGCGCCCGTGGGTGTCACCTCTGTGTCACCGGTGTCACCCCTGTGTCACCTGTGTCATGTCTGTCACCCCCGTCTCCTCCCACAGCCGCCTGCATCTCCCCACACCCCTCCGTGAGCATACCTGTGGGTGACCCCATGTCACCTCTGGGTGTCCCCAACCCTGTTCCATGTCCCCAACCCTGTCCCATGTCCCCATCCCTGTCCCCTTGGTGTCCCCGTGTCCCCAACCCTGTCCCATGTCCCCAACCCTGTACTGTGTCCCCAACCCTGTCCCCATGTCCCCAACCCTGTCCTGTGTCCCCATGTCCCCAGCCCTGTCCCTGTCATGTCCCCAACCCTGTCCCCATGTCCCCAACCCTGTCCCATGTCCCCCACCCTGTCCCCGTGGTGTCCCCCGCAGTGCTGGGTCTCCCGTCGCGGGTGGAGGAGCTGTGTCCTGTCCATGTCCCCAACCCTGTACCGTGTCCCCAACCCTGTCCCCATGTCCCCAACTCTGTCCCGTGTCCCCATGTCCCCAACCCTGTCCCCGTGTCCCCAACCCTGTACCGTGTCCCCAACCCTATTCCCGTGTCCCCAACCCTGTCCCGTGTCCCCATGTCCCCAACCCTGTCCCATGTCCCCAACCGTGTCCCCATGTCCCCAACCCTGTCCCCGTGTCCCCAACCCTGTACCGTGTCCCCAACCCTATTCCCGTGTCCCCAACCCTGTCCTGTGTCCCTGTGTCCCCAACCCTGTCCCATGTCCCCAACCCTGTCCCGTGTCCCCAACCCTGTCCCGTGTCCCCATGTCCCCAACCCTGTCCCATGTCCCCATCCCTGTCCCCTTGGTGTCCCTGTGTCCCCAACCCTGTTCCCGTGTCCCCAACCCTGTCCCGTGTCCCCGTGTCCCCAACGCTGTCCCATGTCCCCAACCCTGTCCCATGTCCCCAACCCTGTCCCATGTCCCCAACCCTGTCCCGTGTCCCCATGTCCCCAAACCTGTCCCATGTCCCCCCGCAGTGCTGGGTCTCCCCATGCGGGTGGAGGAGCTGTGTCCTGTCCGTGTCCCCAACCCTGTCCCATGTCCCCAACCCTGTCCCATGTCCCCATGTCCCCAACCCTGTCCCGTGTCCCCAACCCTGTCCCCGTGTCCCCAACCCTGTCCCCGTGGTGTCCCCATGTCCCCAACCCTGTCCCATGTCCTCAACCCTGTCCCATGTCCCCATGTCCCTAACCCTGTCCCGTGTCCCCAACCCTGTCCTGTGTCCCCATGTCCCCAACCCTGTCCCGTGTCCCCCCGCAGTCCTGGGTCTCCCGTCGCGGGTGGAGGAGCTGTGTCCTGTCAGTGTCCCCAACCCTGTCCCGTGTCCCCATGTCCCCAACCCTGTCCCGTGTCCCCCCGCAGTGCTGGGTCTCCCGTCGCGGGTGGAGGAGCTGTGCCCGGACCTGCCGGACCTGGAGCGGCTGATGGGGGACATCGGGGGCCTGGCGGACTCGGGCGCGCGCTACACGGAGATGCCGCACGTCATCGAGGTGACGCTGCCCATGCTGTGCCACTACCTGCCCCGCTGGTGGGAGCGCGGCCCCGACGCCGCCCCCCAGGGCCCCTGGGCCACCGACGT